AATCCTCTCACTGCCCCTACACCTCTCAGTTCTGTAAGCATAAATAAATAAACCTTTTTTTTTTAAAAAAAATGACAAGGTCTCATATACATTTGAGTGCAAACTGATTTTGTGAACAGCCGCTGTTCACTCCTAAAGTGATCCTGTAATTTATCATTCAAACCAGGGATACTGTGAACAAAAGGGACAACAGACACCTTTAGAACCATCTCCAGCAATTAGGGACATAAAAGCTTCTTATTAATACCTGTGAGTCAGTAGAGTATTTTTTCACTCGATACATCGTAGCTCCACTGGGATTTCTTTTTTTTTTTTTTCCCACTAGTTTTTCTTCCATACCATCATTTGTCTTTTTCTTTCCTCCCGTGGTGCTTTGTAGACGTCTTTTCCACAATGCTCCTTAGCAAGTCTGTTGGGTCCTGTGGGCACTGAGGGACACTGAAGTCCAGAACGAAACTCTGTTGTAGGTTAGAGTACACACTCAAGTGAATGCAGGCAGATTCAAATGGAAGCCCAGCTTTGGGTCTTCCAGCTACTGATAGGGGCTCACAGATGCGATTCTGAATGGGTTTGACAACTTTTGATTAGCAAAGGGAGCAGGAATTTACATATGAGAGAAGGGATTTTGGCCAGTTTGTTTAACAGAAGAGGCAGGAATTTACAGGTTGGAATAATGAGATTTGGCCAATTTTGTTTATCAAATGCATGTGAGCCCTAGCCCCATACAGATAAGAAAAAAGTTTTACAACTAAAGGTACCTGGGATGAGATAAACTAATAGAGTTTGAGTCAAACTAGTAGTGCTTGTCCTTAATACTTTGTCCTGAAATGTGCAAGCTGTTTTTCAGAAATACTGAGTGGGGGAAGTAGGGCCTGTAGCCATCTTTCCAATCACTCTCTACCTCTAGTAAATGGTTTTGAATTGGTTCTGTGGACTTGAACATCCATTAGACTCTGGATTTCTTGGGAATAGTACACACGTTATTCTGAAGTTGCTTATTTGGTGGTAAGAAACCACAGAACAGAACTTACCACCTGAATCCTCATACCTCTGTGTGCTGATAGCCTATGAGGAAATCCACCTTCTCTTAAAGATATAGGAGCCCATAGACAACGTGATGTGATTTTCATTTGCTCTCTTGCTGAGCTTCTGGGGGGGGGGGGAGGGAGGGAGAGTTGTATAAGTGCCTCAGTGAACGCCAGAGAGCTGATACCTCTTTGAGAACCTGTTTGCAATTCTTTGAGATATACACTTGAACGTGGTAATGCTGGATCTTATGATATTTCTTTAATTGAGGCAACTCCAAATCATTTTCCATAGTGGTTGCACCAACTTACATTCTCACCAACAGTGCATGTGCTTTGTGATTGTCTGCATCCTCACCAATACTTGTTTTTTCTTTTTTAATCTTTTGATAGTGACCTTCAGATTGGGTGTGAGAACCTATTACATTGTGATTGGCATTCCTCTGATGATTATTGATGTCGAACACTTTCACAGATGTTTGATGACCATGTTTGGTCATTTCTTTTATATTCTTCATGAAGTGTGGTTAGTCTGTATCGTCTGTAGGGAGCCTTCACTTTGAGAGATTTTGACAGTGAAGGCGCAAGCATGGACAGATAAATGTAGGTTGCATCCTGTGTTTCAACGGTTGTAGGTTTCTGTTCTCTTTGTTTTACCTCTTTCTTACCACCCTACATCACCTCCTTACTAACAAGGCAAAAAGGAGGGAAAGGTCACAAGATTTTTTTCAGAGGAAGAAAAGTTTTGGATTTGGGAAAATCTTTCTTATTGTCTTCTAGAGAAATTTTGCTTGTGTAATTCTCATGACTCACATTCTCTTATAATAAACAAGTCAACTCAAAGTTTTCACTTTCTCACTAAAAAAAATGTTAAGCTTAAACACAAATACAAATAGAATCTGTGCTAAGTGTGGGCTATATAAAAATAGACTTAACACGCTCTTTCATATTCAATGGCTCAAACAAGTCAAAACCAGTGAAATCATTGCTAATAAGCTTTTAATAAAGCTGTTGGGTATAATATAATTTAGAGACATCTAATTTTCACACGCAGGAACTGGGTATATGCTAATCTGCAGTACGTGATTCAGGACCAGACAGGAATCAGAAGATAATCAAAATGTCTTTCTACCAGACTAAGCCTGGAGAGTTTGTTCCTGAATGCTCGTATGCTGAGATTCTGGGCTGGTTTATACACATAAGGACAGAATCTCTGCTTATTTCATGGAGATGTGGCGAAGAACATAGAAGAATGAAATTTAGAGTTTCTTTTATATGAAACGTTTTATGTAAGAAGTTGCCTATCAAGACAGAGAAATAAGTAGTTTTTTGCAGATAAGTCTTCCCTAACTTAATATTCACCGATCTTTCTAAAATGTCATAAAGGTATCATTTTTTAGGGGGAAAAAAACCTGTAATCAAGGACCATGATTCTATTTGGCAAGGAAGTGGAATCCAACCATAAAAGGAGCTTTAACTCTAGAAAGAAGAAAGGCAAAGGCCTTCAAAGTCATAGATGTTACCAGATCTTCTGACAATGGATTTCCATCCAGGCAGCCAAATTAGTTGTGTTTGAATTGACTAATTGTTGAGTTGGTTTGATTTCTGTGAGTGTTGAAACAAAATTGACAAACAAAGCAAAGAAGGGTGGAAGCCCATGATTGTGTGCTTGTCACCATGCTTTGGTTCACAGTGGCTTCACGCCCAAAGCTATGTTAGAACCCAGAATCAGGATTTTAATTTTGTAAAAAATCTAAAATGTCAATATGTCTCACAATTCTGATACCATCTGTGCAAGTAAATGTCTATATATTCCTGTTCATGCATTTGTCAATTCTCAGACCATTCCTTGGATAATTCAATGAAGTGAGTATATAATTTCTGTAGTCAAAAATGTATCCTTATACACTTCTCAGTTAAAGATCTCAGTTCATATCATGGTCTTGTTTGCATGACTGGGTAAGTTGTTCATTTCACTGTGCCTCATTTTATGCAGTATTGAGCCAGCATTATTATTTCTATACCATGGAGTTCCTATCAAAATGAAGGATGTAAAGATCTTAGCACAGTTTTATGCTATAATAATATACTTAAAAATACTAGCAATGCTCCCAGCAAGGCTGCTGGGAAGGATGGGTCCTTTTAGGGTCTGGCTTATCTAATGGTAAAGGCCACGACTTTGGCCATTAGGTTGAACATGGCTGCTCCCATTTGACTCTTCAGTCATTTCCCACCAGCTAACAGCTTGTGTGTGTCTCTAGCCACATTGGAGTGTGAGATCATTTTGGGCTCAGATATTTGCATTTGCTTTTTCTCTGCCTGGAAATCACTGGAATATCGCTAGGAGAGATTTTGCTGGATGGTTGGTCTAAAGGAGCCTCCTAAGTCACTTTTACATCTCCCGAGTCAGCTCCTTCACATCATCTCCACATTTTGATATCATCTAGCATATAATTTACTTGTGTTTCCAATCTCTTCTACCAGAATATACATTTTCTGAAAGCAGAAATCTTCAGAGTGAGGTCTGACACATGATTAATTGCTTATTAGATATCTTTCAGAAGCATGAATGACTTTTACTGCCAAATTAATGTTTTCTTTTATTTAAAAAACATTTGTAGATGCAAGTTCTTATTGAAGAGAAGTTAACATTACTATAGATAAGTATTCTTCTACTTGCCTTGAAGCCAGTTTATTAGTCTTCTGTTTCCATACTTGAGTTCTCACAGGATAAATTTTCTTATTTCTCTGTGTCATGTCCCAGGCTATGTAAGTATCTGAAGCAAGCTATAAAGATTGGCTTCTAGTTCCTCCTGATTTTGCTTTATTTCTCATTGATGAATCAACCAGCTATAACTGGCCAGGTGTTTATATCAGAAAACAAACAAATTCATTGGACGGTAGTGAACTTACAGTAAATGAATTGTGAATGTCTATTCTTCTAGAAAAACTGCTGACGAGCTCTTCAGACATGAAAAAACTGTGTTGCCAAATTGCCCAATCAAATCAGTATTTTAAAAGTCAATGTCATCGTTCATATCTTTGTGTGTATTTTGACCATACCTTAGTCCATTTATCCCAAGAGTGAATTAAAAGAAATAAGTATTTCCTGATAAAAGAGACTGTGGTTTTATGATTATTCCCCTCCAAAACTATATAGACATTTTTCCTTATTCCCCTAGTATTTCCAACTAGAATTTGTCACATTCTGGTTTTGTTGATGGAATTATAACTCAAGCTCTTTGTTTTTATTTAAATCATTTTTCTCAACTGAAATCAATACAGTAATAAGCTAAGCCAAATTATAATATTGTTGATAGTTAAAATATTAACTATTACTAATATTTATTTATATAGTTTTCTTTACTTTAAAGAGCAGTTTTGAAATAAGTGATATGTTTGTAACAATGATGGTTAACTATAGCAAAGAACAGATAATTTCCACCTGGCGGTTTCCAACCAGTAATACAACACTAAAACAGGTTTAGCACAGAGCAGGGGGTTACTAATTATTTGTTAAAGGCATTTTAGCTTACTATACAATATTGAGCATGTCTGAGAGCATGGAAGCTTTCAGAAATATAAACATCAATGCAATTTGCTGAAGTTGAAAATTGTTAGTCTTTTTACAAATTGTCTTATTTTCTTGACTTCGTTTATAAAGTATTGACATCATTTCTAAGCCAATAAATATTATCTTGGAAAGGAAACCGATACCAAAGAGGAGAAAAATAGTATTTTCAATACATGTTTAGAAAGCTCTAAATGTTCGAAAAGCTCATGATTGCAAATGCCAAGTGTATTTATGTGAGTGGGGCTGATGTTACCTGTGGTTATTTTCTTTAATATTGTAGCTTTTAAAAGTTTTTTTTTTAATTCAAAAACTCTGAAATTTAGATTGACAATAATTAAGAAAATGCAGAAAGAGCACTGGTAGATTTTTAAAAACTATTTTAATACAAGATTAATAGCAATTTTCTATCCAAATCAGAAATGAAAAATCTTAACCCAAATAATATTCTTTTGACAGTCACATAAAATTTTAGGTTTGATTGGTGCACACATTTGTCCTGCATATATAGTATGTATATGCTCACAGAAACCTCACTATTATCCCATCTTCAGGAATCTCTTCAAGGAAGTACCGCTTTACAAAGCAATGCCAAAGATTCCGGCAACTATTCAACTTTGAATGAGGCTCAAATGTCCTCATGCTAAGCTGAGACCACACTGTAGCAAACCGTGAAATAGCAAGGCTCCAGAATGCATACAAATCGACACTCTATTTGTATAACTTGGCCTAAAACTAAACACTGGCTAATGTCTCTACCAAGGAGGAACACATTGCAAATGTATAGGTTATGGTCTCCTTTACTCTTCTGTTGGCAAAGCTAAACTGCTTTTTTTTTTTTTTAAGTTAAAAGTCAGGTGTGTTAGTGACAGTAAGTAAATGAAAATGAGTTTGAATTTCTGCAAGTTTTGGACAAGTCAACACTTGCGTTGCGTTTGCTAACACTTCCACCTTTATTCAAACCACCTGATAATTAGCCTTGCAAAGAGAAGTCCTAAAGGAATCATAACTCAAGGAATTTGCTATGTTTTTATTCCTCCCTGGTGATTTTAGTTGGTGTTCAGTGTGTAGCCAAAACAGGTATGTAATGGCTAAAGAATTAAAGTAGGCTAATGTCTGCAGCAGGGAATATAAATTAAATATCAGGGTTCTGCATCCAGTAATATTTTCAATCTGTTTGATTTATAGAATGTTACTGGTATAATTACTACTCCTTGTCAATGAATAATAGTGTTTCCAATATAGACAAAATAGTATTTTCCATCCCTTACATTGCAAGTCAGTAACACACATTACTTATCTGGGTGAATCACTGTAAGGGAGTCAGATGGCTAGTGCTAAGGTTGAGCTACATGGCTATAATCATCGTACCGACTTGACCTTCATTGCAATGGTAGAAGGTTGTCATATTCTTCTTCAATACAGACCCAAAAGCAGAGCTCTAATTCCTGAATTTGCAATTCATTCTCTCTGCTAAAGACTTTAGCCTCTGTTTCACTTTTGTTATAACATATACAAAGAATAATATACACCAATTACAGACGTGTATTTCTGTTAGAAAAATACATATTATAACTAAAGAACATGTAAATAGAGGCACTTCAATAAGCTAAGTGTTTGCAGTTATGAGCCTCACCCAACAATTGCTAGCATCCAATTTCAGTGAGCCCATCCCTCGCTACTCATAACAGAGGTTAAGATGTGATTACAAAGTTTAGGAGAAATCAAAACACATGAGGGCAGGTCAGTAAAAATAATGGGGCCTCATTGCAACCCCATCACTGTGGGGGAACCAGAGAAATTGATTTGGCAGGATGCGGGTAGGGATAGGGAGAGATTCCAAAACACTAAAATGGGGCAACTTGATTAAATTAATTTCCTTAGGGCAGAAAACACACACACACACACACACACACTCATGTTAAATTGGTGTGAAAATCAGATGACATAGTGGGATGATGAGAAAGGCCAGGAAGTACACTTTTAAACTCTTGACCACATTCATGCAATGATTCATATTGCGGCATCATCGCTGCCTGGCTTGTAAGGATCGCTACAGATCACCACTAAGAATAATATTGAAAATGAAGGTGCTGAAACCAATGATGCAGGATGATGAGTTTATACATCATCTTTGTGTGTGGCGTGTACAGAACCTGGGTTCACATTCATTAAGATAATGTGCATTTATACACATGCACAAAACTTTTGGGAGCGAGCATATAGGCAAAAGAAGGCATTCTGTTTTCACAGAAGACAATGCAGAGATATTAAAAAAAAATCCAAAGACTTGGAGTTTAAAGCCATAACAAATTATTACTCAAATATTCTGGAAAAATCAAGGTTGATTTAATTTGTATTGCACCTTAATTACTGGAGAAAGACAATACTGATTTCTGAACATAACATAAGTGAATGAGCAACATATATGATTGACCCTTCTTCATCGAGATGTTTTATGTGTGATGGGTGACGGGAAGCCAACGTTTGGCAGTGAAATGGATGGATTTATGGATGTATGCGACGCCGAATTAGATTAAGTGTCAATTTCATATAGATTTACATGAAAGGATGCCACAAAATCTCTCAGGATCTTACATTTTGTATTTCATTAGGCATAAAATAGCAATAGATGCTTCTAAATACTTTCCATTTTGCAAAAGTGCTCAAATATGCTTAATACTATTGTGCCCCACATGTCCTACTTAAATATGATGACTAAATCAATAACTAATTATAATTTTGATGAGTGGAGATCGAAAAATACCATTTACGTGTCATTACCGTCAGCGGGTGAATTAAAATGTGACTGGCAGACTACGGTGTCTTGAGACATCACCTTTCCCAACCCCAGAGGCATCATCAAAACCAAGAAACACATGGACAGCTGACGGTATTGATAGAGCCCAGTTTGGTTTATGTAGTGTCTCCCGTCAAGGGAAGCCTAGCATCTGACTTTGGCACACTGGGTGGGTCAGTTAGGCTGCGGCTCTGAATTGGCCTCTTGAGTTAGGTCATTGACCTGCTGGGCAGGAATCCTCAGCTGGAGGCATCGTGCACAAGAGTGATGGTTCTGTACGGTTAGCGTGTTCTTTCCATCTACGTTTTCCATTCCCAGTAAGGTCCTACATGCCCCACCGCTCACCGTATGAGCTCAGTATATCTGGAGCACTCAGGACAAAGCATGTCCATGTGAAAAGGGTGTGCCCTGGCAAACTTTAATAAATGGACAGTTAGATACGTAAAAAGTTCTCTTTCTTGCTTCTCGGTGCTCACAGGTCTGAGCAGCACAGAACAAGAAGAGCTGGTTGACAAAACATTTTCGTTACAAAGGTGTGTCAACCCTGAGCTTGGAATTAAGAAGTTAAAATCTGTGATTTATATATATATCGATATAAAAATAGATGATCATACTAAGACTAAAAAAGTGAAAGAAATCTCCATGTCAATACTATATATATATATTTTTTTTGTCTTGACTTCTTTTTTGTTGTGAGTTATTGGGGGAGAGAATGCCCGAGTGATGTCAACACCAATTGACACAAAACAAATCGTTAAAGAACGGAAAACTCATTTATGGATCGAATTGTTTCTCCGTCATGAAAGGAACTCGGATTTGGGAAGGGGAGTGAGCACAGGGGCAGAAACATCTAATTAAAGTCAAACCTGTGGCAAAAGCAAGGGGTTGTCTTGTTGGAGAGTATTTCAATTCAGGCTCTTGAGGAGACAGTGGGCAGACATGAGCGAATCAAGGCGATGGTGCCGCTGCTGAAGTGCAATTGGGCGGGGTGACAGGGAGGCGCTGAGGGTAGCAACTTTCGCTCTCCTATTAGAAATGGAGTGCTAAATTTAGCGTCAGGACCTCCACGTTAGTTTTGTCTGTGCGGTTACCGCGCCGTGTATTTTCACTGCATTTCGAAACTTTCAAACTTTCTCCCCATGAGCCTTTTAAACCCCATTTATCAAAGGAAAGCTTCAACTGGGAGTTGCTGGCAATGCTCAACTCTCAGTGGTAAAGCTCTTTTATTTCTCTCTCTTGCTTCTTTGTTGAAAATGCAGTTGTCTTGGGATTTGGCCTGATTTTACGAGGGGAAATTATTTTCTTCTACTTTTTTGTTAATGGGGAAAAGAAAAACTCACAACGTGAGATTCCTTTACTTCTGCAGCATAAAAGCAAATGAAGGTAAGAAAATCTCCTGGTACGAAAGATTTGAGTAAGAATTCTCTAGAATAAACAAGGTCCCCACAGATAACTGAAGGAAAGAGGAAGCAGGCAGTCTGGCACGGGTACTCTTTGGGAAAACAAAAATGGACACAGTACTGCCCTCTTCTTCTAGAAAACAGTCAGTTTTTGTGGCATGGTCCATTGGCCAAGAGAGTAAGAAAAGAAGTGAGTTGGCCGTTCAAATAGCTAAAATGCAGTTTCATCTGCCCAAAAACCCAGGATTATCTGCCCAGTCTCTGCAGTGCCAGGACCACGCACACGACAGACCACCAGAGCAGAGAGTGGCCGAGCCGGGCTGCCGAGGACTCTACTTCTCTCCGGTCGGGATCCACTGCCGGGGCCTCTGTGGTGACAAACTCAAACTCCGTGGGACACACGTCATCCATGCATCCACTGCCACTCCCCGATCCGCTGGATTCATCACCTGGCAGGGACAGATTGCAAAAAGAAAGTCAGACCGCAGCAGGAAGGAGTGCGTAGCACTGGAGAAGAGCAAAGAAAGAAATTTCTTAAAGACATTGCAGCCCTGGCCGGGAAGGAAAAATAGCTTGCCGATGCTGGCACAGAGGTCTGACCCTCCGAGTGGATCTGTGCTTCTCGTGCTCCTGAGGCTGGGGTGCTAAGGCACATCTTTCCACTGAAGGGTCCCTAACCACCCTGATTTCTTTTTTTTAAAGATTTTATTTATTTATGCATACTGAACTGGGGTGCAGGCCAGAGGTGCAGAAGTGGCAAGAGGATTCACCAGAGACAGAGTGGGGAGCAGAACAGGCAGATCCACAAAGTACACTGCTGAGGGGAGCAGCTGGGAGACAGGAGAGGTCTGCCGCGCCATGCCACGTGGGTCAGCATCCTGGCCGGGGGTTGAACTCGCACTGAAGCAGCCACAGCTTGGCTTAGCTTTGTAGTGCAGCACTCCAAACTGCTGCACCACCAGGGAGGGTTTGTTGGCTTGTTGGCAAAGAGAAGGCTTGTCCTGAGAAGGAGGCAAGGCCCCGGATGTCTGTAGTACAGTCTGTGTTTTCCACCCAGTGTCACAAGAACCTCAGGTCCGGTGGGGGCCAGACCTGTGTGCTGGCTTTGGCAAGGTACTGCATATTCCAGCCAGTACTGTGATTTCTTTAAGAAATTTCATTCTTGGCCCTCCCTGGTGGCTCAACAGGTTAAGGACAGCACTATGAAGCTATTCGCAGCCACTGCAGCATGAGTTCCATCCCTGGTGGGAGAGGTGACCCACGTGGTGTGGCTGACCTGTCCCGACACCCCCGCTGCTCCCCTCAAGAGTGTATTTCAGTCCATCTGCCTGTTCTGTTCCTCACTCTGGGTCTGGTGAATCCTCTCACTCCTCCACACCTCTGGCCTGTACCCCAGTTCTTGTATGCATAAATAAATAAATCTTTAAAAAAAGAACTGGGGTACAGGCCAGAGGTGTGGGGTTGAGAGGATTCACCAGACCCAGAGTGGGGAGCAGAGCAGGCAGATGCACTGAAATATACTGCTGAGGGGAGCAGTGGGTGAGACAGGAGGGGTCTGCTAAACCAGGTGAGTCAGCTCCCTGGCCGGGGATCGAACTTACGCAGAAGCAGTGACAGCGCTGAGACTTAAGCCCTAGGCCACCAGGGAAGTCCCTACTTGCTTGTTTTCTTATCCCTTCTGTGAGAATTTACATTGAGAGTAAACTCTTCCCTTCTGTGTCCCTATAGCCTTTCATGGAACACAGCAGGTGCACAACAAATACTTGCTGGCTAAACAAACACACTTGGGACGGTTCCTCAACTCTTGTCAGTCTCCTCATCTTAACAGAAACAGACAATAACATTCACCTCACAGAGTACGTGTGAAAACACTGGTGAATTGCATGAGGGTACAGAGACCAGTGCTGCAGTGATGCTTGGTGAAGAAAAATATGGGTTCTACACCAAGATGACCTCGAGTCTCACCTCGAGTTAATTTTTTATTTTAGTGAATTAGGGCACATCAGTTACCCTACAGTCAGGAGACTGCCTCATCTGAAAAAATGACAACACTATCTACTTCACAGAATTGTTAGGGGGTATAAGTGAGATAACATTTCGGAGGACCAATACTGGAAGCCTGGTAATGGTCTTTGCTCTTTTCTCCAGGTGCTCAATGCTTCCATCCATGGGCCCTAAACACCCCCTGCTGGCCTGAAATGGTAATGCACCTGTTGCGCTGTGCCTGGGCCATCTTGGTGGCTCTGTGCTACTTAAGTCAAGGAAAAGTGGGATTATTTTAATGGTCTCTGTATGAGTAAGGCATCATTGGGCACATTTGTTTTCCTTTAATGGGGCATCCACATACCAGATAAGATCACTGAATACACTACACCAGGTTCTTAACATTTTCTTTGATTTATCTTTAACAGCTTTTACAAGACAGAAAATGCCCATTAATTAAATTCGGAGATATCAGAATTGCTAAGGGAATTATTCTCAACACTGGTATTATGCACAAGAAGTAATATAACCTTTACAAAGATATTATTAAAGCAATTTAGAATATTAAAATTGTGGTAAGCAAATAATGACAAGAGATTCCTGCTGAGAAAAATAATAGCCACATTTCTGTCTGAAGGGGAATCATAAATACAGGTATTTAGGGGCCCTTTTTAAAAATGTCACAAGCACTAAGGTTGATGATGGCTATTAGATGTGATCATGGTTTGTATGACAGACACTATCCTAAAACAGAGGGCCAAATTTGGTGGGTGGGTTAGGGCAAGGTGAGGTATATGTATATATATATTTTAAAGTTTTTTTTATTTATGCATCCAGAACTGGGATACAAGCCAGAGGTGAGGGGCAGTGAGAGGCTTCACCAGAGACAAAGTGGGGAGCAGAACAGGCAGATCGATGAAGTACACTGCTGAGGGGAGCAGTGGGGAGACAGGAGAGTTCTGCCACGCCATATGGGTCAGCTCCAGGGCTGGGGATCGAACTTGTACTGATGCAGCTGCTGCCAGCCTGCAGTGCTGCGTCCTGAGCCATTGTGCCACCAGGGAGGGCCCCCAGAGTGCTATTTTTTGTTTTTGTTTTTTTTTTTTTAAAGATTTATTTATTTGTTCATACAGAACTGGGGTACAAGCCAGATGCTCAGGGGCAGCGAGAGGCTTCACCAGAGACAGAGTGGGGAGCAGAACAGGCAGATCATTGAAGTACACTGCTGAGGGGAGCAGAGGGTGGGTCAGGAGAGGTCTGCCGCGCCATGTGGTCTCCTCCAGGGCAGGCGGGGATTGAACTCATGAGGAAGTGGCTTTAGCTTCTTAGTGCTGTGCTTTAACCCGCTGCGCCACCAGGGAGGGCCCCCAAAGTGATATTTTTAACCATTTCTGATTTCTGTTTTCTCAGAGGGGAAATGCAGCAAGATCACTGTGCAAGGGCAACCTTCCCTAAGCTTTGCAGACTGTCACCTATACAAGCTCTTTCTGTTAGGGAGTAGAGAAAACCAAGGCCAACATCAACGAAGTCTTGTGTGTCTTGAGTTACTTACTCCAATGGTCATTCTCCAGATAATAAAGCATTTTACTAGACAGCAAAACAGAATGGGCAAATGCAGAGGAGTGAGGTTAAGCAATGAGCAGGGAGTAGTAGCAGAGAGAAACTAGTCTTGTGAAATGCCCTCTTCAGAGAGGGAAGGAGAGAGTTGGGAAAGGGGAGGGGAAATAATGGAGGGACTCAGAGAATTTTTACAGCACTGTAGTCTACGGCTGGGTAATTATCCTGAGTTTAAAAAATTAAATTTTGAGATATTTAAAATTGAACAAACCACTCACATTTTTTTCAGAGACAACTCGGTAGGGTGATGGCTGATACTTACATGACTTAATGTCTCCTCTAACTTGTTTCTTTCTACCTCATTAGTTCAAGCATACAAGTATCATCTTTTGCTTCAGTAACCAAATTACAGAATCACTGGAACTGTACACTTTATGTTCAAGAAATCTTTCCCTGAAAACTCTATCTATAAAGAGACATATTTTAAAAAAAACAAAAAACTTGTTTTGATAGTTATGCACCTTGAAACCAGTTAGACCAAAACCTAAATACAGTTCCTCTCACTCAATGTTCACATAATACACTTTCAAATCATCTCTGATATTTTGTAATCTTTGATAATTATCAAGTGCAATACAACATCAGCATTTAACCATTTCTCTCCACGTTTCAGAGACAAAGGTCCATTGTCCGTGGACAGAGAGGGACATAATGCAGTTGACTCAACAGCGCATCAGCTAGTATCTTGGCTCCTTTACATACGGCCTCAAACTCAACCCCTTAGGCAGGGATGACTCCCATTCCATCTCAGAGGGCCCTAAAACTCAGGAAGTTACTTGTTGGAGACCATCCTGATAAAAGAGAGTTTACAGCTCAGCCTGGTCCGAGTGGACTATGTCCAACTTGGAGGGAAGGAGTGCTGGAAATTGGGGTAGAGGCAGAAAAGCGGATTGGAAAAGGAGAAAGGAGAGCATTATTTTGTTGCTTTATCATTAAAGGGTCAACTTGCCAATGAAACTCATTTGAACGCTGATGTAGCTGAAAGTCACATATTGAAACTTTCTTTAGAACTATTATGACTTCAGTATCCTGAATTTTGTGGATTGGAACTCTTGGTTCAAAGGACTGCAAAAAGCTTTGTAGAATGGGCAAGATGGACACAAGATGAAAGGTGCAGGTTGCTTTTGAAGAATTCTGGTACGATTCCCTATAACCATTTGTCATGCCCGAGCTCCGGGTACTGAGGAAGATTTTCTTACTTGTGTCCTGGAAGTTGACATCATTGCCATTGTATGCATTCTTCAGCTTGTTGGTCATCACACGGAGAGCCATGATCTGCTGCCTGATGAAAGTGTCGGGCCGCGTGATGTCCACGTCCACCTCGGGGTTGTTGATCTGGTTGGTGAGTCCATCATTCATGATCTCAGGCAGGTATCTGCAGGCCAGAGAGAGAGGAAGAGAACAGATTGCGATGAAGCAGGAAGGGCCTCAACACCAGATTCGGCCTTGCTGTTTCTAATAGTGAGCCAAAGTATCAGGAAACATTGGCTCAGTGGCCGGAAGAAAAGCCAAACAATGAAAACAAGGAATGCATTTTCTCAGAGGGAGCTATGGCTTAAATGGCTTCAGAGTTGTATTTAAAAGGGGACCGAATTCATAGGTAGGCTTGCCTGCAATGGCTGCTCAACAGGGGACTTACAGAAATTGTCACTTATAGCTAAACACTTTCTCCCTCCATCCCAAGGGCTATTTCCTTATGGCAGGGACTTGGTAGATTATAGTTCCAGAACTATAATCACACATGCTCTTAGCAAGTTCTCATGAACAAATTCCTGCTCAGTAGTACAGATTCTATCTTAGCATCAGAAGAAACTTGTAGTTATAAGAAGTCATCTTTGGAAAATTTGAAGAGACATTGGTGATTACTGGGCTGTTTGAGATGTTCATTAAGGTTTCTATTTTGGAGTAGAATGTTGGTTCTCATTCAATATTAGCTTGAAACAGAAGAATAAAATCTAGAAGTTCTTTAATGCTCTTACTTGAACTAAAACACCAAAGTTGTCAGTCCTGTGTCATCAGCTGCTTCAGTTGGCTATGTATGTTCACATCAGTGGAAAATAAAGATCTCAGTAAAGAGTGGAGCCCTCCCTACCATGACTGTCACAGTTCCGTCTTCCTGCTGTTCTCACACTAGCTTCCCCCAGTCTCCAACCCCCCAATTCCCTTGTTCTTTGTTGGAGTGCAGACAGCTACAGCCTCAAAGGACTTCCCTGTCTCCTCTTTCCTTTCTGTTCACCTTGCATGCACTGACTGATTAATTTTCATCATATATTGCCTTCATTATGTTGCTGTTTAGTATACAAACTTAGGATGGTAGAGCCCATGTTCACTGAGCACTTACTAAACGCCAGCAGTGCTAATCGCTTTACGTGCCGCTTAAACGTAATACCCCACCACATCTGAGAGGCAGATATTATTATATCCCCATTCTGCCCAACAGAAATTTGAGCTTTAGTGAGGGTAAGTAACTGCAAAGTTACAGAGTGAACGGATGGCAAGCCCAGGGCTGCGCCTGCCCAAACAATGCCCCTAATGCCTTGCTGAATCTAAAGCTCTGCCATCAAGGCCCATCTCCAACCTGTCTCTGCCTTCTTATTGTGCAACAGTCCCTTCAAGAACCTTCTTCACCTTTTGGAATCTACTTCCTATATATATGGTATCTTCACCTGCAGGGCATTTTCTCATCAAAGTCCCCCAAAATGCTTAAAAATCCAGCTCAATCCTCACATTCTTCTTAAGGTATTTTCTAGCTTTTAGGGGATCTTCCCATCCCTTTGCTGGGCCCTCTGGCTCACTGGTTGGGGGCGGGGGTAGGAGGAAAGGGCTGAAATCCGGCCTGTATCCTGTGCCCACAGAGAGATCCACCTTTATCTAATCCCTACAAGATGCTCTGTTTGTTTATATCTCTGTTAAAAATAAAAACCAAGCAGATGGCACACCCAGTGGTAACAAAGAGAGTTTAAAGGACAAACTGTCTGCAAAGGTGTGGACAGGGTTAAAGGAAATCAGATTCAAATGGAGTAAAACCCAGAAACTGGCTACAGAAGAGCTGGAGGTGAAGAAGCTGTTTCCAGAACTATACGCACTGAAATTGCAAAGAGAGACTAAAAGATGCAGCTACTGCCAGCCCATGCCTGTCAGGGAATAAGCCCAGGGAACAGCTAGACTTGTCTAGTCCCTCTAACCTCCAGCTATTGCTGCCCGGTGGTTGAACCCAAGCAGAAGCCAGTGGGCCAGAGACCCAGCTGAACGGTTGCATGGTCCTTGTTCGGGCACACGGCAAGATGGTGGGAGCCAGAGGGCATCTCCGGAGGCACAAGAACATCCAGCACAGACACCCACAGACTGGCGGCAGCCCCGCTATGTGCTGATATTAGCGTTTTGCTACTGTCTCTGCTATTACTGTCTGAAAGCCTGGAAACCGTTCCTCTCTGGTGCCCTTCCTGTTTGCATATTCTTGGACAACATACTCAGGCTTAAAATTCTTCCCCTTTCTGCAGGTTGTTTTCTCAGCTCTGGAAATCAAAGTGTCTGTCAATTTTCAAAAGAAGAAATAGAAATACATAAGGAAACAGTTATATTTAAGCCATTTTCAGCCGTTGTAATCTTACGCATGCATGATGAATTTGTGCATGAATGAGTTTACCCATTTTAAATCTGAATAAATGCCAGTCTTCATCCATATCTCAAACAAAATCCACTTCCCAATCTTCACAACATAATGACCAATAAAACAGAGTGCATTGCAAATTCTTTTCTATAAAGCTTCACAGTACACACTTCCCTAAAAAAAAATGCTTTAATTGAAAAATTTACAAAAACACATGGAATGATCTCTATTTTTGCAGTAAAACAGAACTTCTGTGCTGCCTTTTGATATATCTGGTAGATCCAATCAATTTTTGTTAGATTCTGAGATTGTGATGGAAACATGGAGCAGGAAAAATTAAGGTGAAGTTAACCAGGGATGGAAGGAAAATGATTCATGAGTTGCAAGCTAAATGTGGAAGTTTTGCAAGGCCAGGAACCAGAGGTGGGGGAGAGAGGATTAAGTGTCGTTCCAGAAAAACCAAGCCAACCCCAAAGTGGTAAATTCCAGAGTGATATACTGCTCCAGTGGATGTTCTATGAAGCTACCTGCTCCTTTAAAAAGCAGCTCTTGCCCCAAAGACTGCCCACCGTCTGTGTCTATAAATGTGCCCCGCCATGCTGAGCCCAGAATTGGTCAAATTCTTTCGCAGAGGGATCTAAGTGCTCCCCAAGGCCAGAAATTCCATAGCACGACCTGGATGCCCCCTACTGATGTCCAGTTACGTGTGTGGGCCCTGTGAGCGGTGCCGGCTCAGCAAAACCCTGCAGAATAAACACGGGCCTGCACAGAGGAGCCGGTGCTTAAGCGGAGCAGCGAGGCTGGACGGTGACCTGGGCTGGCTCCATGTCTACCTTTTGGCCCGGGACTCCTGCTGCGAGCCTGTGAGTCAGAGGAGGGCTTGTTTTTTCAGAGGCTGCGTGCAAGGCGAGACTGTGGAGCCTCATTTAGCAGGAGCTGCCTGCGAGCGCCTCCAGGAGCAGGCCCGGCAGTGGGGCGACCAGGAATGAGATGCCCAGTCCACCGGCCTCGCGCTGAGCCCACCGATGCTCAGCGCTCACAGCTCCGTCCTCCAGGACCTTTTCTCCTTCCCCTGTTTTTTCCACGGGAAACTTTAGAGACATGAAAACAAGGAAATGACAAACACAGTTAGAGGAGAGCATGACTGCTTTGTTATGCAGAGACACATCCTGAGGACAAATCCAAATCTCCCAGAGAGCAGCCTGTGGTGGAATCTACCACATCTAACTGATCAGCGCTGTTTTATTAACTATAGTTTTTTTTTTCTATCAAGGTTACACTGATTAAGCCTCCATCATCTTTCTCAAGATTTAGTGGTTTTAACCAGTGAAAAAACAGTAAGTGTTAAATGATTTAGTCATACAGACACAGACTCAAAGGCATATTCGAAAGCTCCTTGAGTCTGTCAAAGCTGTGCTACTGATTTTGTTCCATGGAGGACCCACGCAATGAAGAATGACAGATAGACATACAACGTGGTAAGTGCTATGAAGGAAGAGTGAACTCTCAGGTTAGAAGGCCAGACGGGCAATGTGCATGCTCCAGAGCTTCATCTGGCGCCACGTTGCTCTCAACCTGCAAGATGCATCTGTGAGCTCGTCCTGTTCACCCCTTTTCTAGATTTTGCGCCCCTTCTTTAGGCTGGTAGCCTTCTTTCTCTGTACCATCACCATTCTGGAGGAAGAACCTGGAAAGGAAGAAAAATCTTGCCACATGAAGTTGAGGTTCGGTGGCCAGATGTACATTTACCAGGGACAGAGGATCAGGGATGAGGACAAGGGGCATCATCGCTTGCATGTTCCCTGTTGTGGTCTGGCGTGAGGAAGGCATCTGTCAACAGTCAAGGATCGCCCTGCATTTGCATGACCTTCTCTTTTGCTAGAGCTCATCAAGGAAACAGAGCTCCAGCAGTTCTGCACAATTATTTTCCTCACTTCTGCTGTGACCTTAATGTTGGTGTTTCTTAGAGTCACCCGCTCGGAAGCTGATGCCTAAGGAGATGCATGAGGAGCTGATGCCTTTGGAGGATGAGGTCATGAGGGTGGAGCCCTCACGATTGACATGAGTAATGGCTGATATCAGAGGGTCCCAGCCCTGTGTGCCATTTGAGGATTAAAGGCAAAGTCTGCAGCCTAGAAGAGGGTCCTCACTGCCCATGGTGCGCCATCTTGATTACCAGCGTCCAGGCTGTGAGAAACCAATTTCTGTAGACATCAGCTATTCAGTCTGTAATATTTGTTTCTAGCAGCCCAAATAGGCTACCTAGACAATATCTAATTTCTTATCATTGAAACGATGACCCCATTTTCAGGAAATGAAACCCCATTTCCTGTGGGGTTTCTTCATGATGTCAGACATTCTAGTCGAGTAGGTGGGAGTGTGGGTGTGGGTGGATGCGGTCAACCTCATGGCTGGGATGGTCACAGGCAGAGTTGAAGCTCCTATTACCTGAGAGACAGTTGACGTGACTTTTCTCCACAGAAGCAACCCACTGCCTGTCAATGCCACCATTCAAAATTATTCCTTTCCTTTAGAGCCAAGACTTCCAGAAAGATCCTGTTGATCATGTGAATGTACTTCTGGATGGAGAGACATGCTGACTACCATTCCTTGGGGATTCTCATCAGCATGTCAGTAGTTGTTCTGAGGTGAGAAGCTGTAAGGTGAGGGACAGTGAAATGCAGCTCTCAAAATTTAACAGGACTTGAAGGCATGTAAGATTGTTAGCCCAGTGGGGCTGGCTAGGGTCCCAGTGGAAGCTGAGG